GTTACTGTTGACGAACGAGGACAATACCAGCTTTCTCTGTATCATCCAATGGATGCCTTCACTATGAACTTAAGGGCATACCTTTCTACAGTTTTACCCTTTTTGAAGTGCCGCATGGATGCACAGGTCACTGATCACAAATCCATGATTCTGAAATATGTTACTTCTTATGTCTCGAAGTTTCATGACGAGCAAATCGGAGATTCTTTGTACTCTCGACATGCGACACCCTATATGGCAGCGTATCGTCACYTGTCGGATATGAAACCTCTTGAACCTGAAATGCTCATATCTCTATCGTCTCATAAGCCCGCATGGACTAACCATTCCACGAAACGGTATATTCCTCCTCGATCACACAATGCTGAGGAAAGCCTCCTTATTCAGAAATACATTAGACGACCTGCCGATTTGGATGATATGTCTCTTCTGGAATNCACGTTATTATTTCGAATTTCTTCAAGTCTGCCACTGCCCTTGGTAACGTCCTGTTCGATAACAATTGCGGTCCCACTCCCATCTACAAGAACATGAAGATTATCATTACGAAAAATCTCAACAAAGCGAAGGGAATCGTCAACGGACAACCGGGGAAAGTTTATCTCAAATGGGAATACCGTTTTTGTACGCCTACCTAACAACAAAGTTGTACCTATCTTTCTATATTCCACCAGAGAAGAAGAAGTAGATGAACAAGGCCGGACACAAGAGACCACGTACACTCGATATCCTCTAGTTCCTGGGTATGCTATGACCATCTGTAAAGCTCAGGGACAAACTCTTTCAAGCTCCATAGTCTGGATGGACAGCGAGTTTGTTCCACCAGGAACTGGATACGTGGCTCTATCCAGAGTACGTTCCTTACAAAACATCAAATTCTTCTTGACTCCACTCAAGAAAGAACACTTCCAACCTGTCTATTACGAGGAATCATAATGCGACATTTTCTTTTTAACATGCATCCATGGCGTTCAGAGCATAACGTGTTTCTAATTTGCATTGTTTGTTTTGTGAATATTCGTTTTCATGTGTATGCCCACGGATCTCCTTCATTGGTGAACTGGTGTTCTGCTTATAGACAGCACTACTGCTTACTATTGTGTTCTTTTCAAGCACATTTTCAATAAGTTCTGTTGAATGTCAATGAAAAAACTTTGTTTTGTCCGGCCGTTTTCTGACGGTTATATCAAGCATTAGTGGTTACCGTCTTGTACATATACGTTTTCAACCATGTTTCAACATTGTTCAATTTTTTATAAGTGTTTTTTATTGCTATACTTTATATATATCCTGGTGGTCAGCTATGCTGGGTTTGCATAATATCCTCAATTTCTATTCCCGCGGGTCTCCTTCATTAGTGACCTGGCGTCCTGGTTATATACACCATAACTCCTTGCTGCTTTGTACATATACGTTTTCAAACATATTTCAAGCTTTCTCGCGTCGTTGATTTTGCGTTGATATTAACAAACTTTCAAATCTGGCTCAGATTGTACAATATTTGACGCCTTTGGTACCTGTATTCTTTCAATATTAGTGTTAAATTTTTTGTACATATACGTTTTCACATTTCTGCATCATGATTCTCTAAGATCTCTCCTTAATCCCAAGCGGGTCTCCTCAATTGCTGAACTGGCCTACTGGTTACATAGAGAAAAAATGATTGCTACATTATACATGAACGTTTTGAAGCATATTTCACCTTTTTTTTAATTCGTTCATTTTTCGTTGATATTCATAATCTTTCAACTATGTCAATTGGGCAATTGGCATAAAACAATACTACCAAAACACCAAGAAATCATAATTTTCACAGTTAAATACTACATTTCTTACGCATTGTACTACATCATGATTCGATGATAACCATGACTTTTCCTTTTTATTTGCCTCTATAGTCATCATCATTAGGGCACAACCTCTTTTCTTGGCTTTCTTCTTGGGCACACGATTTTCATCTTCTGAACTGTCCTCTTATAAGTCACTAGTGACTTATTTTTAAGGTTCAACAAAAAACACGAAGTAATGCACAGCAAAACGGTTGCAACATTATACATGAACGTTTGCAAGCATATTTCACATTTCTTTAATTCCTTAATTTTTCGTTCATATTCATAATCTTTAAACTATGTCAATTTGGCAATTGCCATAAAATAATAGTAGCAAATGACAAAGACATCATAATTTTCACAGTTAAATACTAAATTTATTACACATTGTATTACATCATCACTCCATGATAACCATGACTTTTCCTTTTTATTTGCCTCTGTAGTCATCATTATTAGGGCACTACCTCTTTTCTTGGCTTTCTTCTTGGACACACGAATTTCATCTTCTCAACTGTACTCTTCTAAGTCACTAGTGACATATTTTTTAGTTTCAAGAGGAAACACGAAGTAATGTAGAGCAAAATGGTCGCTACATTTCACATGAACGTTTCTTCTTGGGCACACGATTTTCATCTTCTGAACTGTCCTCTTCTAAGTCACTAGT